TGTTAAAAAACAGAGTGATAGAAAAATCAAGCAAAAGTGTTCAAAATCACTTTTTCCCAAGGTGATGCTGAAAGGTAGACTATCAAAGAACAGCATATCGGTTAATATTTAATAAAGCTGCCAGTTGGGAATGAGGCCAAAGTGAGCTGATCTTTGAGCACCATGTGAGCAAATGCAGCGTGACCGTTCTTGAAGGAGGCACTTAACACGCAGCCACACCCATGTCAGACACACAAACCCCCACTCTCGCACACTGATGTACAGTAAGCACACTCCCCCAAGAAGAGTGTCTCAGCAGCAGCTAAGAGCAGAATTGAAGAGAAGGCAAAGGAAAGAGGCGAGAGATAAAACCAGATCACAGACCTGGGAGAGGTTTCTGTTTGTGACTCCTTCCTGTGAGCAGAAAAGGCATAAATGTTACACAATGTAAGATACAAGTTATGGACATGGATGAAAAATTAACTGTAAAAACCTGAAAAAAAACAAAACCCCAATATATATGTTACCACACAGGGGCAGTGGAAACAAGTTCTAAACAACAGCAACAGTTGCCTGCTTACACTGAATGATCTTTCATATTTTTATGAAGATTAAATTTTGTGATGAGTGTCCAGTATTTACTCACTCTTCTGCAATGGTTTTTGTCTCCACTGACAAAAGAAACCTTAGGCTATTAAGTAAATACAAAAGGTAAATGGACTGGTTCTTACATAGCACTTTTCTACCCTGCCTCAGCACTCAAATCGCTTCGTTCACATACAAGCACTTTTTTCTATTCTTAAGTGCTTCCTATCTCCTATTCACACTTCAGCACCTTGGGGTTCAAAGAATCTTCATTTTCAAACCAACCAAAAAGTTGACACATTTTCTCTTAATATGTAAAACTACAGTGAGCCTCATAACACGACTCGAACAGGTATTCCTCCAGGATCAAACCTGGACCTTTATTGCTAAGATTTTGCATTCATAGGCAATTGGTACGGTGGCCCTGAGAGGCCAAACAGACTGCAACTTAGGAAAACACCAGCAATAAGAAAAACGCTGCAAAAGGGCACAAAACACAACGGAAATAGAAAAAAACAAAACGGTAATAGGAAAAAGCAGATTTCCGAAAGCACAAGGGAAGTGTTTCTGGGGAGACAATAACCCGACGGACCAGTTGCAGGAACAAAAGATGCTAAGAATTGCGCTGGGAGACAGTTAAAAGAAGTGGAGGATCTATCGGTTTTGTGAGGAAAGAAAAGATGAGAGGTAAGTGTGTTAGCCTAACTATTAGCCTAAAAATCCATCATCAGTATTATATGAATCATGATAAAACACACCTACCATGTTTTGGGTTCCTGCAACTGGTCCGTCGGGTTATTTTCTCCCCAGAAACAATTCCATTGTGCTTTTTGAATCTGGTTTTTCCTATTTTTGTTGTTGTTTTTCTTATTTCTGTTTTGTGTGCTTTTGCAGCATTTTTCTTATTGCTGGTGTTTTCTTAGGTTGCAGTCGGTTTGGCCTCTCGCGGCCACCGTACATTTGTTAGGCATACCTGTTCAACTGCTTGTTATCGCAAATATCTAATCACACTGCAGCAATTCACTGCATTGTGGCCAAAACAACCGTCTCGAGGGTTTACAGAGAACGGTCTGAATATATTATAATTATAGTAACTTAAACAACCACTCGTTACAGCCAAGGTATGCAGAAGAGCATCTTTGAACGCACAGCACGTTGAGCTTTGAGGTAGATGGGCTACAGCAGCAGAAGACCACACCTGTCAACAGGAAACTGAGGTTACAATTTGCACAGGCTTACATCTTCTGCTTCCAGCAGGATAATGAGCAACATCACAAAGCTCAAATCATCTCAAACTGGTTCCTTGAACATAATAACATGTTCACTGTAGTCAAATGGCCTCAACAGTTACCAGATCTCAATCCAGTGGAGAACATTTGGCTTGTCCTGGATCAGGAGATTTGCAGCATGGGGTGGCTGTAGCTCAGGTGGCAGAGCAGGTCAGCCACTAATCAGAAGGTCGGTGGTTCGATCCCAGGCTGCATCCTGGCTGCATGC